AGGGAGCTTTCTGCTGCAGCCTCAATCATTTCACCAAGATCAATACATTCCTTTGAGGATTATATGAAACCCTGACATTCCTTTGATCTCATTTTTCTAAGCAATATAAATGATGTCTGACCAATTTATTTTCATACCTCAAATCATAGTCCTTATGCTCATAATCATTTTATTTGCTGCCTAGAATTGTCCAGCCGTGCAACATCCTTACTATAAACTGTAGCAGCCTGTCCATTCGTGCTCCCAGCAGTGCTTTACCTGAGGCTGGAATAGCAGCTCTCTGAATGTGGGCATCAGCTGTCAAATCAGCCGCTGCTGCAGGGGAATGTATGTCCAAAGAGACAAAAGCACTTACGAGACAAAGCAACTCACAAGAAAGGTGGAAAGAACAATCATTTTCTGCACCAGCTTGCACTGTGAAGCGCACACGGAGCTGCTGAAGGATGCAGTCATGGATGTCTGGAGGCATCCTGCTTTTCTGACCTCCACTGGATGAACATAGGGGAGGTTTAGATTGGATATTAGGAAAAACATCTTCCCTGAAAGGGTTGTCAAGCACTGGAACAGGCTGCCCAGGGCAGTGGTTGAGTCATCATCCCTGGAGGCATTTAAAAGACCTGTAGAAACGGTGCTGAGGGACATGGTCCATGGTGGACTTGGCAGTGCGAGGTTAACAGCTGGGCTCAATGATCTTACAGGTCTTTTCCAACCTAAATGATTCTAGGATTCCACAGTGCCTCTAGAAGCTTCCTTGTGAGTTAAAATCTTCTATACCCTTCAGAGCAGTAGTAACTAGAAAGCCACAATATAACTGCAGATACACATCGAACATGCACAAATACACAAAGCCAGAAAGGGAAATGCAGAAGTCTGTGTACAAAACATGATCTTTGTGCAGTCCCTGGGAAGTCCTATAATTCTGCCTGATGTTCTAAGAAGTCATTAATGGTCACTGATGTGTTGTTAGAGCACATTATTGTACATAACTCTCCAACAACTGTAGATTCTAAATGTCTGACGACATAGGATCGTAGAACAGTTCGGGTTGGAAGGGACCTTCAAAGCTCATCTAGTCCAACCCCCTGCAATGAGCATGGACATCTTTAACTAGATCAGGTTGCCCAGAACCACATCCAGTCTGGCCTGGAATGTCTGAACCATGACAAAACACCCACACCTCTCTCCTAAAAGCATACGGAATAGATACAGAATTAAGAGTAATTTAGCCAGCACTAAAAACCTGCTGAAATCCTAGAATCCCAATTCTGACTTACTATCAAGATGTCTTTCTGTGGGAAATACAGGCTAGTAGCATAAGCAAAGAAAAACAATTCCAGGCATCCTAAAATTACTCAGATGGCTTTAAGGACTGGATCAGGTTGCTTGTATTCAGAGGCACGGGGAGAAGACAGCACTTAACTCCTTGCTTTGAGCTTACCATTACTCTGCTGCAGCAATGATGCAGCTCCAGGATTTAAGAGTGATAGGACACGGGAAATGGAACTGGACAAGGGGCCAATACTGGCCTTATCCAGCTCTGTAATTAGAGTCAGAAGTGTGGTTGTACTGTTAAAAAAGTTTTGGGGGCAACCAGATCCCACACATAACATCGAATTCCAAAGAGAGAAGACTTCTTGGCTTTCTGGTTATCCCACACCAGATGTTTTAAAGAAATACCTGAGGAGTATTTTGCTGTCTTCAAGTTGTATCATCAGTTTTTCCAAGTTTGAGCTGTTTGTGATTTTGTTTTCTATCAACTGACAAATTATTTAGATGGAAGCAGTTTGCAAACACTCCCCAAACACATCAGAACTCAGAATCAAGTGACCAGTTCAAAGCAGACACTACTTGGACTGTATTTCAAAAACTGCCCTTTCTGAGTTTTTGCTGCTCATTCACTTTGTCCCTTACCAGGACATCTGAAAACAGAAGATTCCCAGGCATAGGAGTTATTTCTTATTCTAAGAGCAAAGGAGTTAAAAATAACCCCAATGCAACAAAACAGTGATTAATCGACAGTGTTGGCTGTTGGCAAGCCCTAGCTTCTTTTTTTTTTAAGAACACTGTATTTTACGGTATTAACAATGTCACTGATCAGATGGAAGTGGCAGATTTGAGAAAGAGGCAAAACCTGCCCACGGTATATGGAACATTTTACCTTTGCTTCTTCTCCGTTAGAAGGCATGAGGAAAAGAAAGCTTGGAAGAACACAACCTCCCACTCCCAATTCACATGTTGTTGCCAGCATCACTTAATTAGTTGTGGCCAGCTCATTCTGAGCGTGCATTTGCTAAGCTCAGACACAATTACCTGACTTGAATTCATCTTGTCGGCTTTTGTGTGGTCTTTTTCTTCACAGAACTCTTCAGAGATCTCTTTGTTCTTTCTCCACCTTCTCGATCTCTTTTCTAAATCATAATGGACCTCTTCAGTCTCACTGCTGTCTGAGTACTCCAGGCTTGTTGCCTGTGGATTGAAATTCACATCCAGTTCCCCGTGGAAATGTTTCCTTTCCGTTCTGGGCACGTCACTTTGAGTTCTGCTTTGTAACCAGAGAAGTTTTCCAGGTCCTTTAGCTTCCTGGGAAGAGTTGAGTGAAGATGTTTCCGAATCGGAGAACAGTGTCTCAGTATTGGTGTATAACCCAGAGGAAGGGGAGGTCACTGCCTGGTACTGATCACTGCCATAAACCCAGTCAGTGCCATACTGGGAACTGGTGTAATAGAAATCGCCTGGTAACTGTCGAGGTCTCCGACGCAGCTTGTTCAAGGCCACATTCCAGTCGTAGTCATCCTCACTGTCTGAGCCCATCTCGTCATAGGCAGACACAATGCTGGATTCATTCTCCAAAGCTTCAAATACTTGACTTTTTGGTTTGGCGAGCATCCGAGGACGAGGCAACGTAACATTCTGCAAAGCCACCCAGTTCCCATCAGGGCTTTGGAACACAGAAGGTAGATCTATGAAAACAAAACATGAACAATTGTGATCACAATATGAAAAGCTCATGTAACTTGCCAGTTTGTGATCAACTGGCCACAAATTGGAGGGTTCAACAGAACTAACAAATACAAGTGTTGCTGCTACATGAACTCATACTGTGAGCTATGCTGCTGTACTGCTCTGAAGCCACTGCTTAAAGCCATGGCAATGACTATTTAAAACAGTGAGTACTTGGACCAAAGCTTTTTCTAAAAGAATTATTTGGAAAGGTTGAGGGAACATCAGTACACAGACATGTATAAATCCTGTGTTTTGCAAATGTCTTCCATTCTGTGTCCAGTTCTGGTCCCCCATCTTGACAAGGAAAGACAGAAAAAGGATCAGAGAATAGAAACAAAGGTTTCACCAGGTTCTGAAACATCTTCCATTCAAGGAATGATTAAGTAAGCCAGAGCTCTACCATCTGGAGGAGACTTGGAGGATGCATGCTAAAAGAGATGAGTGAATCTCTTCCAACCTAAGTACTAGAGGACATCACACAAAACTAGAGAAACCAAAGTTCAAAACAAAAGAAAGAAGTGGGATGCAGTGGGTACCGGACCTGTGGAGCCTTTTGCCTAACTATGTTAACGGATGCTAGAAATTAATCTAGGATAAAGCAGAGATGGCTATAGACATGGAAGAGAAATCCACTGAGGTTAACTAAATACAGAAAACCACTTCTAGCTGAGATAGTCATTAAGCTGAAAGGGCTGGAGGTTCAGAGCAAACACAGAGGAAGATTAAAAAATACTTGCTTTCTTCTCCACTAGGAGCACTGTGTGCAGTTCTGGTGTCCTCAGCATCAGAAGGACATGGAGCTGTTGGAGTAAGTCCAGAGGAGGCCACGAGGATGAGCAGGGGCTGGAGCACCTCCTGCATGAAGACAGGCTGAGAACATTGTGGCTGTTCAGCCTGGAGAAGAGAAGCTGTGTGGAGACCTCAGAGCAGCTTCCAGTGTCTGAAGGGGGCTACAAGGATGCTGGAGAGGGACTCTTTATCAGGGACTGTAGCGACACGACAAGGGGTGATGGGTTCAAACTGAAACAGGGGAAGTTCAGGTTAGATCTAAGGAAGAAGCTCTTCCCTGTGAGGGTGCTGAGGCACTGGCACAGGGTGCCCAGAGAAGCTGTGGCTGCTCCATCCCTGGCAGTGTTCAAGGCCAGGCTGGACAGGGCTTGGGTGACATTGTCTAGTGTGAGGTGTCCCTGCCCATGGCAGGCAGTTGGAACCAGATGCCTTCAGGTCCTTTCTGACCCAAACCATTCTGTGATTCTATTCTAACCTTCCTAGGCTCATGCTTACAGTTACTGTTGCTGCTGCTGTTGTACCCTAGACTAAATGAGCTTTTAGTTTGACCCAAGCACTGCTGCTCTTGTATTCTTACATTTGTTCAGACTATGTTTTACAAGTCTGAAAGGAAAAAAAAATAAAATGCCACAAATATGGTCAAAAACTGCTGTTTAGCCCCGCTCAGAGAACTGCACTGCTTCTAGATTTAGTCCATTTCCAGTCAAACTTGAAACGTCCTTTCATGGGCAATGTGAATGCGTGATGACTCCCACAGCAGTTGAAAGAATATGTAATGCCATGGATTTACACAGTAATCTCAACCTCCCGAATGGCTTTTCAGCCTTGCAGATTCCTTCCATGGGTTCAAATCTGCCATTTCCAGAAAACTGTAAAAACACTTATTATAAAATCATAGAATAGTCCATAGAATAGTGTTTGGGTTGGAAGGGACCTTCAAAACTCTTCTAGTCCAACCCGAAACTAGTGGTTTTCTAAAACTATAAAGAGAATATCACTATTTAAAAAATGAACAAAGTAAAATCTGGACTGTGTTGTAGATGATACCTAAGCATCTTGCATTACATGATGGCAAACACTTGGAGCTCAAGAAGATGATTTTTCCCCTGGAATTGTTCACAAAGAACAACGCAGTAAGAAGGTGTGCTTAGTTTAAAAAAAGAAAGGTCTGTGGAGCAGCACCACCACCAGAACACCCCCACAAAAGTGAAGCAATATATTGCAGGTAATTAAACTCCAGCTATAAAAGATTTAGAACAGGTTTTGTATTTCTTACTCATTTGAGTCCTTTTGGCTTGTTTTCATTTCCTAAATTTCATGCCGATTAAGAGACCTTGAGAAAAGACATCACTGACATTGCTACTCCTGCTTAAAAAGACATCAAAATAGGAATAGTTTTCTTGCAGCAGTGACCAGCTGAGGATACAACTGAAGTCAGGTTTCAGAGGGAGAACTAAAAGCTCTTCATTGTAACAGCTGATTTTGGAGAAAAAAAAGAACACGAGCTATCAAGCACAAGGAGCTGCTGCTTGTTTGCTGTTTCCAACTATGCCCACTAAGCTAAGCATAGGTTTCTCTTGAGAGAAAGAAGACCTTTCTTTAAAAGCACTGTTCCTTCAATCAAGGCAAACACTTCTGCAAGATTTAAATCTCCAACAGGAACTGAATTCAGCTGCACCACATTACACTAACATAATGCAGTGGAGTGCCACATTCTTTTTTTCTCTCCCAAACCATATGCCCTTGTTTTGTCTAGCAACACCACATGAGAATTGCTCAAACATCCTCAGTTAACTGAAGAAGGGACAGGAGAGTAGCTGATCACATCGACAGAGTTAACTCAGAGATGTTACTCAGCAGAGTGGAGAGGAAAGCCACTGAGTACTTTACAGTCAGAAAGCTGATGCAGTTTTAGCCCAGCTTCAAGTAATGTCAAATGTTCCCTTCCTGATTTTCCAAAACACTTATTTGAAGGAATGGCTTTTGCACACATTTCTTTGGGCATACACTATAATTTATCCATGTGAAAACAAAAATTAGTCAGAATTATCATTGTGAAACAATTGGTAAAGGCGAAAATCCCCAAATTCATGACTTGGCTCTTGAGCCATCATTTAAACCAGTGCAAATGGTAGCCAAAATTAGCTCCGAGCTGCTTTTTGGCTAGATGACTAAAAATCCCATTGGTGTTACCACTCTTGGTTGTGATTTCTTTCATTTTCTGTATCCTAATACAGAGCTGCTTACTACTGCATAGATGAGATCATATTTACACATACTAGCACAATCAACTATTTACCATAAGCTCAATGGGCACTACAATTTCATCACAAATGGTTCTTAGATGAAAGAAGCAGAACAAATCCTCTGAATAGAGCACCTGAAAGGAAACTGGGTCAATCTGTCATTCTGTTATGGTTAAGCAATTGTTAAGTATTAAATTGCTCAACAGTTCAATTCAATGGGATTGAAGTGGGTTCTTAAATTTAAGCACTCAATTAAACTGCTTTACTGAAAACAGGCCTTCCACTAAAATACCCAGGAGAACAACACTTCTGAATGAGCAGTTCACAAAGTAATGCATACTTAAGTCAGATTTTAGTACTACTTTACAACTACTTTAGAATTACTACTACAACTACTTTCTTTTTTTGGGGGAGGAGGGGTATTGACACTGTTGAATTTTCAGTCTTCCAGGTTATTAACTGACATTCCAGATAAATGAATTGAATTGATGGGCAGCCCTCGTCCCTGGTCCCCACTATGCCTACACATATATTGTGGCTGCTTCTGCCTGCCAGTGCCTAGTGAGCCAGCTGTGGGAACAACAGCACTAGTAAACTCACCCTACAAAAGAGAAGTTTTCCGCTTGTTCAGCTCCATGAAACAATTTGCTACAAGGATCAGATGGGCTCTACAGCTGTTGCAAGCTGGAGCAGAAGGAACAAGCAGACTATCATGGGAGGACAACAGCAGCAGATATGACAGCTTTGCTGTTCCTCATCACCTGGGGGCAGGGGCTGCTGCTGCTGCTGCAGTGAGCAGCCTTCCCCTTGTGCTGCTGTGTAGGTGAAAACTAAACAACTCTTCTGTGCAGCCGTTGCCTGGTGCTACACTCCTGTGGCCTCATGAACACTACAGCCAGAACATAAGAGGTGGTGGAAATGGGACTCCCACAAGAGCAGGAACCACCTTCTTCAATGACAGACTGTACTTATGTTATTTTGAAGCAAGCAGGGAATTGCATTCTATTCCAGGGTGCTGATGCAGGAATGAGGCTGACTTAGGAAGCTGCTTACCAGCTGTCATCCATATTCATATCCATAACTAAAGCAGAGAGGACAGACCCAGGGAAACTGCTGGTCTGTGAAGTTCCTACTCATACAGCTTCCTCAAACCTGTGTGGAAGCAGCAGTTAGTAGCGCTGCACAGAACACTGCATTGGTGAATTCACTGGGACTGAAAATAAACGTGCAAGGGGGAATCCTAAATATAAGTTATTTCACTGTTTGGTTCACCATATAACCTCATGAACAGTTGTGCAACAGAAGAGATACCCTAGGCAGCTGCAAACTCCTTCAACTGGATGACAGATAACCAACTGACAAAGAAATGTATCCAAATGAGATGCCTAATGTTTCCTAACCGTCTGAAATAAACCCTCCAAAGGCCCAACTTTTGAATCTTTTCTTGGAAGAAAAGAAAGGAAAAGGTAAGATAAGCAATGACACAGCCAAATGAAATCACGACATTCAGCATCACCGTATAGACATTTCTACACGTAACCCCTGTGAGCACAGAGGTCAGCAGGAATCTCCCGGAGAAGGTCCTTAGTTTAAGTAATATTTATTCCATATGAGAGAACCAAAAAAAAAGAATCTTATTCGTACTAGAAATATTTACTTGTTTCATTTAGCCTGTCCACACTCTTCCAGCTGGGTAATGCAGAGAGCTTGCGCTCCTTCTGCTTCCTCAATTGTCCTTTTTGCTGCCTCCAAAGAGCCTCAGTCACAGATGATGCAGGGTCGAGTCCTTTACTGGGCAAATCTTCACTAGCCAGGGAGAATGCAGACTGAGACCTCTGTGGGAATAAAAGTCAAAAAGCATGATTTTAAGATAGAAATAATAACTTATCAAACTCTTTAGCATAATCAAGTATTCAGCTAATCATGGAAGGGGGGGGATCTGCTGGCACGCATAGATGCAATTTAATGTGTTCAAAAGAATTGTTTCAGCACTCAATTGCTTATTTATGTGCACTTCTGATGTGATGCAGGGAGGCAGGAAACTGTTTATACCACCATGGACCAGATGGAAAGAAATAATTAAGGTGAAGTTGTCAAGAATGTGCTTGGTGAGGACTGGTATCTAACTGCTTCGACTCAAGCTAACCACAAAGAGACCCCATCATGGTGAGACATGATCATCTATTGTTGGCTCAGCAGCCCATCTGCTGTAACAATTTGCAGAAGTTAAAAATGAAAAGATAAAGCAAACAAACAGCCTGTTCCCCAGAAATACATTATTTTAATGCAGATTTCTTTTGTTTGCTAGGACACATGGATCACACAATACACTGGGCAGTTTGATGCAGTCTCGCTAATGAAGTTAACACAGCCTACAACTGCATATCTCTTTATTTCTAGGAGGGTGATATTTCAAGTCAAAGTGAGGTATATTACTGGTGTGATTGTTAATGAGCCCTGAATAGTACTGAGGGAAAGATGCTTTCCTTTGGATCTGCATAAATAGTTATGACTGAGGGACCTGGATCTATTACAGAAGTCACATTTAAATCTGACTAGCTTTAAGAAGCTTTTTCCCCGTAACTCTTTATCAGTCAAAACCTCTGTCTTGGCCTTCATAACAAAGTTGGTAAAAGACTGCCTGTATGAGCCAGAGTTTCATTAAGAAATATGCTTTCAAGTGGTTCAGCTTCTTTCTGCAGGCAAAGTTGGCACTCTCAAATCTGATGTTCAATTTATGTATTATAAATAATTAACTAAAACTGTTAATGTCAAAAGGGCCAGTCCTTGCCTGCAGCAGAGCCCTGTTTTGCTCTGGTGCAGATGAGGAAAAGGATGACTTGACGTTCAGCTACTTCTTTCAAGTCCATTCCATTCCTGGGTCAGCAGAAGCATTGCTGGGAGTTGTGCTGGCTTGAAAGCAGCACCTACACCACTCTACTGGCGGCTCTTCCATCTCAAATGCTCCTGTGTGGGACCATGTACTATGCCAGAAGATTTAATTAACTGCAAATCTTTTTTTTCAGCAGTGTAATTTCATAACAGATTCAGTAAAGAGAAGCACAATTAAGCACTGAGGTTTAGCTTGGCTTTTGAACTCTGCAGGAAAGCCAGAATTAGTGCCCTAGAATCAAATATTTCTGTAACTGCAATGACCATATTACTGGGTTAATTCTGTCCCTGCAAAGACACAGTTCCTAATGTGATGCATTGGAGTCTTTCCTTTCAAATTCAGTGACATGAACTACTAACAGCAAGCTCATAGTACTGTATGATTTTATTATAGGGAATCTTTTAGATTGGTCACTTTTACAAACCAACTACATTCAAGTGTGTATTTAGGTTGTTTCGAACCTCAAAATAGATCTTCACCTGATCAAGACCATCAGAATCCTCCTTAACCCTCTAAAAAGGTTAATAATTTAATGCAAACAGGTACATAAATTGCTTTGCTATAGGAAGTTGTTCATTAACTTTGATTTAATCCTGCCAGGACATATGGGCAATATAAGCAATTCCACCACAAATCTGGAGCCTGAACTATGACAATTTTCATTTCATTGTAAGCAAGAACTACTGAACTTTCCATCCCTCCAATAAATTAGGTCCAGTTCATGTCTGCCACACCCTCTGGTATCTTTGTATTCAAGCTCTTATGTACTGAAAGCAGCAAGTTGTTAGAGCTGTCGCTACTTTCACAGTACCAAGACTATTCCCTCAGGGCACATTTTTTTTCCACTTTTATGGCAAACACAGAGAGATAAGAGATGCCAAAGAACCCAGAAGAAGGAAAATTCTCCAGTTTAATCACTAGTACCTAGTTTCCTTTATTACCTAAAGAACTGAATCATAAGAAGAAGAAAAAACCCCAGGAAAACCTCAAGTAGTTTGTATAATGAAAACCTGGGCTCAGAGAATGAAAGTAACATGTTTTTTCTTATGTAAAATCTGTAGATTTGACAACTTTCCTGGTGTTTTGTTTAAACGGCAGCTTCTTGCCTGCCTACTCACTGTTTCATAAACATCACAGTAAAGGCTGCAGCACAGGGATGCAGTGTCTGCACTTGGCTCCCAACTCACCTGAGAGCAGCTTAGCCCTGACAACACAGAACTTGGCATGGCCTACAAAACCCGTGGAGGGAGCTCAGCTTCCACAGGAGTGCTGCTCCTGCCACTGACTGAGCAATTTGAAGCTAGTTCACGTGCATCTACACTACAGAATCTGGGTGGTAAAACACTGGCACAGGTCATGAAGAGAGGTGGTGGATGAACCACCCCTGGAGACATTCCAGGCCAGGCTGGATGTGGTTCTGGGCAACCTGATCTAGTTGAAGATGTCCCTGCTCATTGCAGGGAGTTGGACTGGATGAGCTTTGAAGGTCCCTTCCAACCCAAACTATTCTATGGTTCTATGACTAGAAGATGCACAACCGTTTGAAGGGTTTAAAAAGAGAAGATGAGCATGAAGGGCCTAATGGACAAACAGGAGTGAAAACCAAGGAAGCACAGAAAAGAGAGACAGTCCATGTGCTACAGCAGCCTAGGATCCCAAATAAGCTTATCCAAACAAGCTGATTCTTCTAAATTGTGTGCTGAAACTTTTGGGTCAGGTCAGAGGAAAATTGCATTCCACAGTTTCTATCAACTCAGTGGAAAGCAGGAAACTGGTATTAGGCAGGAAACTGGTATTAGGCAGGAACTACTGCTAATTCTCGGGAAAATCCCTCCAAATGCAGCAAGGAGAAAAGACTTTGGTACCTCTAAGCTTGGCTTGAGGCTACCCTCTACAATGGTCTACACATTACGTGAATGTTTGATGAAATCCATCTTGGACTGCTCTGTCAGAAGTGCTACCACTTCTCACTGGAGATGGTTCAATGTCAGCAGGCTGAAGAAGAGAAAAGTAATACCAAGCTAAAATAGCTTGGCTGCAGCCCTGCATTCAGCTCCTGACAAAGGATGAAATGATGCTCCTGGAAGAGGCTGTTTAACTAGCCCTCTTCACTACTGCTTTTGTAGTTCTCTGTGGTTCTTGTATCTGGAGGGATTTAAATGCTCAAGAAGTGACAGCATTCTAATAAGCACAAATTAAAAAGACTCAATAAAATTAGAAGATTAGGTTATTTCTTGTTCTGAAAGTTAGTTTTAGATAGGGACAGCAGCAAAGACAGAACTGTGCTTTACACAGACAGGTATGGGTGGAGAAAGTGTAAAAATTCACCCCTGAGAGCAGTTCAAATGACTGGTAACACCGATAATGATACAAAAAAAGGAATGTCAATAGCCAAGCCCAGTGTAGAAATAGGACAGAAGCATATCCTGCCATGAGAACAGATCAGTCTACATTGGCAGAAATTGGCCATTTTTTCAGAGCACAAAAGCAAATGTTTGTCTGCAAGTTCACCTCCGATCAGTTACCAGCCTGACTGATGACTCTATCTGAAAAGCAAATGACTTGGATACTTCCCTTTGCTGCTTTTGCAATTAAGAGCAAACTACAAAGTTAGTCATTTGATCTAAGGTTACACTGCAAAAACTTTAATCTGGGTTAGATTAGAGTCAACTCAGCTGGCACCACTAACCTGACAGCTCTACAGCTATAGCATGGGCTTCAGCAGAGGCTACAAACCTATGTATGTGCCTGGCTGTGCTGCTGACTTCACTGCAGCACTTACCCCTAGCAGGCAGCAGAAGCTCCATCCCTGGCAGTGTTCCAGGCCAGGCTGGACAGAGCCTTGGGTGACATGGTCTAGTGGAAGGTGTCCCTGCCCATGGCAGGGGGTTGGAACTGGATGATCTTAAGGTCCTTTCCAATCCAAACCAGTCTGGGATTCTATGATTCTATGACTTGTGCCTCCCTTGCACAAAGAGATACCAGCCCATCTGTACGTCCATAGGGAACACTTTTACCTTGTGGATATTTGCATAAGAAGCAAAACACTGAATGTAAGGGAACAGGACTGAGAAGCCTACTTGTGGGCTGGTGCTTCAGGGCATTTCCCTGTGTGTGGATGCAGAGAAGTCCTGGAGGTAAGGCCAGCTACCCCAATCAGCTCTTGGATCGGTTTGCATCTTAATCTTTACTGCCCGAATGGAGGAGCCATGGCCCCGAATCTTTACCCACTGCCTACAGACTTGGATAGCAACAAGATCTCAGGGCAGGAGAACTAACCCCGTCTATTTTCCAGAAGCATCCCAATAATAGAGCAGCCTAAACTGATTTTCAAAAGAAGGCAGGAGTGTGGGAGCTTTGGTCCTGATTTATAAAGACATGAAGGCTCAAGAAGACCCAACCCTCCCAGGTACAGCTACCGGCACCTTTTTTAACCAGAAATTCTGGTTCCTCAGCAGAAAAAACCCTGTCAGCTGGTGCTATTTTGGGTGTATTTACTTGTGATTAATTACAAGGCTGCCCTGTATGTTTGCAGTCAGACGCTAAGGTACTGCGACTGTTCGTTTCTGCAATGCACGAGGACATCAGCAGATGGCACTGCAACCCAACAGGTCATGGGTATGGTCACTGCACACCAGATTGCTGAGCAGTACAGCACAGCCTGCAAAACAGTTACAGTATTGACCGGCACCCCCAAACGCTTGAGTTAGATGAGTTCCCCACCGAATCCTGCCTGCTGGCATCTGCTGTGAGATGGTGGTTTCTAAATAAATACAAGACACATTATTATTCTCTTTTCTTCATCCCTGTTCAGGGGATTTCTGCTGCATAGTTATAATGTCTGGATGGAAAGAACTCAGCCTTCATCTTGTACTGGGCCAGCACTAAAAGGAATAATTTTTGCATGTACAGTCCTGTTTCACTGCTGGCTGACAAAGACAA